CTCCAGCATCCAAGATACACCCGAAAGGAAAACTTAGATCACACAGAAGTGAGTCCCTGGGCACCACCCTCAACGTCAGCCCACCCCTCAGCTGGCCAACTCAGAGGACAGCCTGGGTCCAGACCCACTGTTCAGACTAGGTCCAGCAGGTTCAGACCTGCTGCAGTTGCACAGGCCCTGGCACTTCATGGCTGTGTGGCCTTAGTTACTTCTCCGCTCTGGGCTTGTCACCTGCCCCCCCTTCTCCAACCCCAAACCCACTGCATCCCCAGCACACAGCCCGGGAGGTGCTCAGTTATACAGTATGTGACTTTTTTTTTTTTTTTTTTTCAGTATGTGACTTTTGCTGTCTGGGTTTTGTTTTGTTTTTTTCCTCTCAAATACCTCTAGTAGAATGATGTCGGTATTAAGCAGGTTTCCCAGCACATTTAAGTTTTGAAGCCAATCTGGGGCCAGTTTTCTCACAATCAAACAGAAACACTTGGCAAAAGGTGACGATCCGCAGGACACACAGGACTACCTTCTCCTCCTGTCACCTCTGCAGACCTGAATGGCTCCCGGCTGCCCCGTTCTGTGCAAGTTGTGGCTGGTGGAGCAGCTCCAGAACCTCTGAGGTTTCCACGACTTGAAATCTCGGTGAAGCTGTGAGTGCAGATTGGGAAGCTGTGAAGTCATTTTCCGCTGGATCGGTTAATTCAGAAGGCTACACCCAGGATCCGATTTTTATTTTGGCAAAAATAGTCTCTACGAAAAACAAAACTCACCAGTACTTACATCCGGAAGGAACCCGAGGACTGAAGTCTGCAAAGAATTGACGGGCTGTGACACCAGATACGCGAGTTGGTGGAGGTTTAACCAGGGAGGAATTTTTATCAGGATCGTTACTGTTCTGGTTAATGTGCTAGTTACGAAATTTCATAGGTTTGGAGGGGTCTTTCCCAGCTCATCTGTCTCATAAGCCCTATTAGTTGTGGTGCAGGAACACACATGGGGTGTCAGATCAGAAACAGCTGTACTGATAGTTGTGTGGAATGCCATTTACCTACCTGAGTGCATCCAGGTATTTGCTCTTGCTATTCTCTCTACAAGGAACACTGCCATTATCTGGAAAGATCTAGGTCCTCCTCCAAGGCCCAAAGCAGGCAAAATCTCCTTAAAGAAACCTTCCAGAGTCCTCCCCGACAGGGTTGACTGTCACCAGCTTGGTGCTTCAATGGTGCCCGAGGGTGCTTAAACCTAGCCGCATGTCCTCTTTCCTGGTCTGTCTCCTTCTACTGGACTCTGCTGACTAGACTGAGGCTTTCCCAAGTGCATCTATGTCCCCAGTGTCCTGTGCAAAACCTAGGCTCAAGTGGGCAGAGGTGAATTGCGTTTTAAATTAAAGTAGAAAGTAAAAAGCAGGGGTTGGCGGAGAGCGATGCTTGGATGGACACAGAGGCTGTGGGAGCCTGTTTACAGGAAACCTGGATTTTTCTGCAGCAGCTTATCTCTGCTTGACTACACATCCTTTCTCAGGAAAGAGAGGAAGCTGAGGGAGCGGCGAGTATTCAACTCAGAAGGGACTGAGGGAGGAAAGCAAATCCTGTTTCCTGCCTGGTGGTTGTGGAGAGCAGCAAATCACTGTTGAAGGCTTGTGATGCTGAGGTCTTTTTTTTTTTTTTTTTGGCCACTCCGTGCAGGACCTAGGACCTTAGTTCCCTGACCAATGACTGAACCCGTGCCCCTGAATTGGAAGCATGACGTCTTAACCGCTGGACCACCAGGGAAGTCCTGCTGAGGTCTTTACAAGCAGTTACAAACTTAATTTTCACATCCACTCCAGGAGGATGTGATTTTATAAATCAAGAAATCAAGGCTCAGAGAGGGAAACAACTTACCAGAGATCTCAGAGATATAAATAAAAACAGGAACCCGGGCCTGATTCCAAAATCAGTGATCTTAACCATTCTGATTTACCTCCCAGGGGAAGGGGATGGGAGTAGGGCTGGAATACAGAGGTCCAGGTTCACCATCCCCATAAGGGCCTCTTCCCTAGGATAAATGTCATGGGGCATCCTGGACCCTTGATAGCCTGTAGAGGGACAGAAGGAGGGATGGGTATGATTCTATCAGAAGAGCACTCTGCAATTTGCAATTCATTTACTTTTTTATCATGTAATTCAGAATTATTATTTTATTATGTAGGTAGGGAAACAGAGGCAAAGGCAGGGACGTGGCTGGTTCAAGATCACACAGCAAGTCAGCAAAAGAACTAAGGCTCAGAAATAATTTCAGTTAAGTTCCTAACAAACAGACTCTCCTGCAGATAACAACCACACACTCTAGACAAAGTACAAAACAACTACCTCAGGGTTCAGGAAAAGGAACAGAAGCAGGAAGATTTCGAGGGGAGTCAAAACATGGATTAAATGATGGGCAGAGAATGAGTTTGCCATTATTTTGCAGCTTTCTCTTGAAGGCAGCTGCAGTCTGGCACACATAGAAGTGACGGAAACTCTGATAGAAAACCTGCCATCTTTCTGGCCTGAAAAAACCAGAGGACAGAGCCCAGGGCAACCATGACTCTTGGAGAGACAGGAGAAAGTGTTAAAGGAGAGAGCCAAAGAAGGGAAACTCCAAATTCTGTGCATAATCTCTACCCCAGTGTCTGACTGGTCCTGACCTGAACCATGTGTGCATTAAGCAGACTAAAAGAAGTCTGAAATGAGATCGTAGTTGCCTCTCATCACAGGTAAGACAGATTTGCAATTTAAGTGTAACCCAGTGAATTGCCTGCCAAAGGGAAAAAAAATCGTTTTTGAAGGAATATATTGCAAAAGAATCCATAGTCTCTTCAACATAACATTCATAATGTCCAGGATATTTTAAAAAATGACTTGACATAGCACAAGGAAAATGTATCCCATTCTCAAAAAAGAAAGACAATCAACAGAGGTCAACCCTAAATGATCCAGATGTGGGAATTAATAAACAAAAATTTAAAGGCATTTATTATAACTATGCTTGATGAGATAAGGAAAAAAGACATGTGTAGGAAAAGATAGAAATCTCAGCAGAGGGACAGAAAATACCAAAAAAAAAAGAAAAGAAAAAGAAGCAAAGAAAATTTTAGAACTGAAATATACAGTATCTGAAATTTTAAAATGAAATGTTTGCACTTAATAGCAGAATGGAGATGGCAGAGGAACAGTGACCTTAGACACAGATCTTTTAAAGAACATATCCAATCTAAGGAAACAAGAGAAAAACGTTTAAAAAAGTAAAGCCTCGTGGTCCTGTAGGAAAATATCAAAAAGTCTAAAGGTAAAATGGGTAATTGAAGAATTGGGATCTCAGGAGAAGAGAAGGGCAAATGGAGTGGGACAAAAATATTTGAAGAAATAATGGCTGAAAACTTTTCAAGTTCGGTGAAAGAGCTAAATTTACATATTCAAGAAGTTCTGTGAGGGAATTCCCTGGTGGTCCAGTAGTTAGACTCTGTTCTTTTACTGCCGAGGGCGCAGGTTCGACCCCTGGACGGGGAGCTAAGATCCTGCAAGCTGTGCGGAGAGAGGCCCAAAAGTAGAAACAGTTCTGTGAACCCCAAAGAATATAAGACAGTCCTTCCCCAGGCAGCCTAATGCTTTCCAAATGGGCTCTGTAAGAAAGTGGCTGCTGGTAGGGAGGCTACGTCTAACCACACAATATGGACTGTCCCTCATCAAGGTTGACTTGACGCCTAATGAATTTCACCCCCAGAAGTGATGGCCTGAGATATCACTGAACTGTCCTGAGGGGGACTCAGCATCATGTCAACTGGGAGAAAATACCTTGAGAGGTTGAGTTGTTGTCTCGTGAAATGTGTTATGCTCTGAATCCACAGCCAGTATTTAGTGCATTTGCTCCCAAACCATATTTTATGGATCTAGGAATTAAGACGTTAAGAAGGTGATAGATCTCATGATTACACATAATAGGCCAATTTCAAAGTTTTTGTTTTCAATACCCATGTCTCTGGGACCTTCTGGACTAGAGGTTTTAGTATTTAAGAGGGGAATACCTCCCTGTAGGCAGACAAAAAATCGGTTTCATCGAGTGGCCATGTATTATTCCTCATGCTCCTTGACTTGTGGATAACAACGAGGTTATGGGTTGGTTGTGGTAATGGACCTCGATTATCAAGAGAAATTCATACTGTTGCTGCACAGGAGGGCAGGAAGAACATTAGAACTCAAGGGATCTCTTCTACTCATGGACCTCTTGTAGGAATCCTTCTTGGATGACCATAGCAGATAACAAAGGGTAAGAGAGAATTTCACAGCCTTACTGAAGCAGGACCATCAAAGGCTTCAGGGTTCACAGGAATGAAATTTCCCACAGGTAAGAGGAACACTGAGTGGGATCGCCAGTTAAAGACTTGTATCAATGGAGCCATGCTCATGGTGGCCATGGTCTCTACTGCACCTCCTTGCTGCCTACGTATTTATAATATATATGCAAAATATTGAGAAAGGAGCCCAACAGAGCAAGAGAATCACTGGCCTCGTGACACCTGCAAGATGCAGTAGGTGGAGATTATTTGCATTTGTCTACAACAGGGGAAGTGGGGAGTTCATTTACTGTTGTATATGGGTTGACTGGATCCAGAACAGGGTAAGGAGAGTCATTTTTGTTTGTCTGAGAAGACTGCACGTGTGTATCCAGGAAGCACTAAATCTGGTTCCTCCTGACCTGACACTTTCCCCCCAGGGGTCGTGACCCTTCAGCCTGCCTTACTGGTCCAAGAATACAGTCCCCCGACCCAAGACCCACCTGTCTCCTGGAAATTTGACACTGGGATCCCAGGAGTTTGGCCACTGGCAGGGGCCTCAGGGGACAGACCATAAGCTCCTGGAAGGGGACCTGCCCTCCCTCCTGTCCTTCCTAAACTGTGCAGATTGGGTGCTTCTTTTCATTCTCTGACCTGCCCTGGTTCCCTCCCAAAGGACCCTCTTTTGTGCTCATTTAGCCAGTCTAAGTTTCTATTGCTTGGAACCAACACCTGACATAGGGGTCACAGTGGAATTGCATAAAGGCACATTGAGCACAATGGGGTCCAGATCTAAGGGTCTGGGGGGACAAGGTGGTGGATACTGAATGGCTCCATCACTCAGTACCTGAATCACTGCCCAGACCGAGTCTGTGCAGGAATGGGAATTCTCCAAGAACTGAGGAAGAATTGACGAAGGAATGAACTCATGATTCTGGGGTCAGGCAGGTGGATGGCCACAATTGCTGACGTCTTCAGGAAGGAATGGAAGGGCCCATTGAAGGCCTCAGGGAAACACAGGCTGAGAGGGAGTTAGAGGCACTGAGAGAAGTCTTGCGAGGGTGGTTTGTACAAAAGGTCAGAGAAGGCACAGCAGCACGTGTGGAGTGACTTAGGAGATGTCCTGGGATCATTTCCGTGTCCCAGGTCACTTGCTTCCTGCCCTGGGCGCCCAACATGGGAGCCTGTCTGGGGCTGACATGCTCCACACATGGAAGCACAGAGCGTCAATGCCCCGGAGAGCAGGCCCGTGGGGATGAAAGCAAACATCAGCTCCTTCTTTCCTCCCTGGAGAGGCTGAACCTGAGGCCATTCCTTGAAGGCTCCTGGGAAGGTCCTGGCAGGTGCAATCCCCCATATGGATGACCAAGTTAGAACACGGCCTCGTATGGACTTCCCTCCTTCCCTGTTTAACTTCCCCCAGCCTCTCAGTCCTGCTCCTGGGGATCAAGTGAGCCTGGCCTCCAGCTGTGCCTTCGGGGGACCCCAGGCTCCAGCAGGCTACTTTGGGCTGCAGGGAGGCTTTGGGCTTCTGTGCTAAGAGTCATGGGCAACTGTGGAAGAGTTGGAAGCAGGTGCTGCTGAGATCGATATTCTTTTTTTTTTTAAGTTAATTTATTTAATTTATTTTTATTTTTGGCTGCATCGGGTCTTCATTGTTGCGCACAGGCTTTCTCTAGTTGCGGCGAGCAGGGGTCACCCTTGGTTGCCGTGTGAGGGCCTCTCATTGCGGTGGCCTCTCTTGTTGCGGAGCACATGCTCTAAGTGTGCGGGCTTCAGTAGTTGTGGCCCATGGGCTTAGTTGCTCCACGGCACGCGGGATCTTCCCGGACCAGGGCTCAAACCTGTGTCACCTGCGTTGGCAGGCAGGTTCTTAACCACTGTGCCACCAGGGAAGCCCGAGATCGATATTCTTAAGGGTCATTCTAGCCCCATGTGGGGAATAGATGGGGTGGGGGGCAGGGGCAGTGCCACAAGGGTAAACACAGGAAGACCATTCTGGAAGCTTCCATTCTGGAAGACCATTGCTGAAATGTGAAGGAAGCTTGGGTGAGTTTGTTTGCTGTCTGGCTATCTCTCTCTGCCCCTCTGTTTATGGCTGACCCTCTCTCACACCTGCAAACAAGCCCTCTGATCGTAATCAGCCTTGGGTGCCACATGTCCATCCTGGGTCCAAGGTGCCGGAGGAGGAACATACCTATGCTCAGTCCAAGCCAGATGTGCACGGGCTCCCCTAGGTGTCCCAGTGGGGCCTGCAGGGCATCAGGGTCTGAGGGAGATGACTGGATGGGAGCCCAGTGGGCAGCAGGAGGAGCGATGGAGGACTTGCTCCCTGAGCTCCTGGAAGTCAGGCTCCCGGGGAAGGGAAGTCGGGCATCTGGAGCCCAGCTGAGCTGTCAATCAACACAAAGAAGCTTCAGCGAGTCCGTGCATATTTATTGAACCAAAGTCTGTAGAACACAACCTGGGGAGAGCCAGATGGACCTGAAATATCTTGCCCAGCCCCACCCCTAAATGAGGAAGAAATTGAGGGTCAGAGAGGCCGTGTCAATTGGCCCCAGGCTGGTTCATCTCCTTGACACACTGCAAAGTTTCTTGACTTGTTAATGCCATCTGGTTTCATTTTTCTTTCCTTCTTTTCTGTTATTTTTTGTGTTTTTTCAAATCAACCTCTGTTCCAACACGACATTTGGAATTTTATGGGAACTTCACTGGTCTCTTAGTGCACCCTGGTCCCAAAGAGCAAATGGTAACTTGTCAAACGATTCATCCACTGTGTTGTCACCAACACCACCATCAGCAGCATCATTATCTAGAGGTGACTGCCTGAAGATCTAAATAGACGTTTCTTCGCAGAAGAAGGAAGTTTTTTCAGAGTAAGTGTATTAGTTGGTCATATCGAAATCAAGGAGAGGATGCTCAAATCCATGGGAAGGATGTTGTTAGTAGTAGTGTTTTAATAATGAAGTTAATTGTGTATAGTTCTGGTGTGTAGGTGTTGTGGAATGTTCTTAGGAATAGAATTGTTGTGAATATATTTGTTATAATGATGTTGGCCTATTCTGCCAGGAAGAATATGGTGAAGGGGCCTGCTACGTACTCTACATTGAAGCTGGATATGAGTTCAGATTCTCCTTCTGTTAAATCAAAAGGGGCTCGGTTGGTTTCTGCTAGGGTAGAAATAAATCATATTATGGCTAGTGATCATGAAGGGAAGACTAGTCATAGTTGTTTTTTTTTTTTTTTTGCGGTACGCGGGCCTCTCACTGCTGTGGCCTCTCCCGTTGCAGAGCACAGGCTCCAGACGCGCAGGCTCACGGCCATGGCTCATGGGCCCAGCCGCTCCACGGCATGTGGGATCTTCCTGGACCGGGGCACAAACCCGCATCCCCTGCATCGGCAGGCGGACTCCCAAACACTGCGCCACCAGGGAAGCCCCATAGGTGTTCCTGTGTTGCAGTTGGGGTTGATGGGGTGAAGGACCCATTTATTAAGAGCACTGATAAGAGGATGATTGCTAGTGTGTTACTTCATATGAGATTGTTTGGGGTGCTGCTCGTAGGGCTCCAATTAATGCATATTTTGAGTTGGAGGCCCAGCCAGATCATAGAATGGAGTATATGGCTAGACTTGCTATCGCTAGTATGAATAATACTCCCAGGTTTATGTTGATGAGGGGTCATGGTATGGGTAGAGGGATTCATATTGTGAGGGCTAGGGTTAGGGCTAAGATGGGTACGATGATAAATATGGAGGTGGAAGATGTAGCTGGTCGTAGGGGTTCCTTATTGAATAGTTTGATTGCATCGGCAAAGGGTTGGAGTAGACCATGAAGGCCTACAATGTTTGGTCCTTTTCGGAGTTGTATATAGCCTAGGACTTTACGTTCTACTAGTGTCAGGAATGCTACGGCTAGGAGGATAGGAATGATGAGCATTAAAATGTTAATTATAAACATTTTGTTAGGGAGAGGGTTTGAACCTCTGGATATAAAGTTTTAAGTTTTACAGAATTACCGGGCTCTGCCACCTCAACAAAACCCTGGTCTTGGGTGGTTAGTTTGTGCTTGCTTATAAGGTTGAGATTAGATCATTAATTGTTTTGACGGCGCTTATTTAAAGTGGGCCTTATTTCTCTTATCTTTTCATACTGGGAGAAATGCATAATAGATAGAAACCGACCTGGATTGCTCCGTTCTGAACTCAGATCACGTAGGACTTTAATCTTTGAACAAATGAACCCTTAACAGCGGTTACACCATTAGGATGTCCTGATCCAACATCGAGGTCGTAAACCCTGTTGTTGATATGAACTCTAGAATAGGATTGCACTGTTATCCCTAGGGTAACCTGTTCCGTTGATCAATTTTTTGGATCAGTGAGTGATATTATGCTTTAGCTAGTAGGTCTAGGCTTTAATCACTCAGAGGGTTTTTGTGCTCCAAGGTCACCCCAATGAAACTGTCAACCCATGTGAAATTTTGTTATTCCTTGGTGGTTTAAGATTATGGTTTTTGGGTTGATTCATTGAAGCTCTGTAGGGTCTTCTCGTCTTATTTTGTTTTCCCCACCTCTTCACGAGGAGGTCAGTTTCACTGATTAAAAGTAAGAGACAGTAAAACCCTCGTGTGGCCATTCATACAAGTCCTTATTTAGAGAACAAATGATTATGCTACCTTTGCACAGTCAGGATACCGCGGCCCTTTAACGATTGTCACTGGGCAGGTGGTGCCTCTAATACTGGTGTTGCTAGAGGTGATGTTCTTTGGTAAACACGTGGGGTTTGTGTTTGCCGAGTTCCTTTTACTTTTTTAAATCTTTCCTTGAGTGAACCCCTGTGTTGGGTTAACAGTGTTTTTAATAAATGATTTAGTGTTGGATTGTATTTATTTATTGTTAATTACCAGTATGTTATTAGTTGCTGATGTAAGCTTGAGCAAGGAGAAATATTTCTTGTCACTCATGTTAACAGTATGGCTTCTGTAATCTTATAGATTAGTCCAGTAATAGGGCTAGGAGTTGATTTACTTAGTATTGGAATTGAAATGTGTTTTGTTGTTGAGCTTGCACGCTTTCTTCATTGATGGCTGCTTTTAGGCCAACTATGGTATAGTTTGTTTTTACTCTCTAGTTAAGGTTGTATCCATTTCTAAAAAACTGTACCTTTTTAGACTAACATTTAAATATACTTTGAAGCTTATTATGGTTTTTAGTATTATTTAATGTTGAACTGAAATTCTTTTCCTGGACAACCAGCTATCACCAGGCTCATTAGGCTTGTCACCTCTACTTATAAATCTTCTCACTATTTTGCCACATAGATGAGTTTGTTCTAGTAACAGTTCATAAGTAGCTCATCTGGTTTAGGGTAGTTTAGCTTAAGTTCTCTTTGTTAAGCTGTTACTAGTTAAGTCATTATGCAAAAGGTACAAGGGGTAAGCTTTGCTTTTTATTACTTTTTTTTTTGCGGTACGCGGGCTTCTCACTGTTGTGGCCTCTCCCGTTGCGGAGCACAGGCTCCGGATGTGCAGGCTCAGCGGCCATGGCTCACGGGCCCAGCCGCTCCGCGGCATGTGGGATCTTCCCGGACTGGGGCACGAACCCGTGTTCCCTGCATCGGCAGGCAGACTCTCAACCACTGTGCCACTGGGGAACCCTGCTTTTTATTACTTTTAATATTTCTTTTATCATTCCCTTACGGTACTTTCTCTATAGCGCCATCAATGTTTAAATTTCTATCTCCTATACTTTAGATGTCTGGTGAATGTGTTATTTGACTAGCTTGAGTCAGTATGGTGGGAAAGGTGTGGGCTAGGTTTAGTTCAAGACATACATAGATCATGAAATCTAGGTGTAAACTAGGTGCTTTATTTAAGCTATGTCTTGTTTTATCCAAGCACACTTTCCAGTATGCTTACGTTGTTACGACTTATCTCCTCTCATATAATTGTTTAGCATGTGTTGATGGACTGTGGCTTTGTCATGGCACTTGAAGAGGGTGACGGGCAGTGTGTTCGTGCTTCATGGCCTTATTCAATTAAGCGCTCTACTCTTAATTTACTACTAAATCCTCCTTTAGTTTTTAGGTTTCACAAAAACTTTCGTGTGGATAAAGGGTGTTCTTGGTGTAGAAAATGTAGCCCATCTCTTCCCACCCCATAGGTTATACCTTAACCTAACCTTTTTATGTTATAATTATGCTTACTTTTGCTCCTTTTTAGGGTTTGCTGAAGATGGGGTATATAGACTGGAGTAGCAAGGGTTGGTGAGGTTTGTCGGGGTTCATGGATTATACAACAGGCTCCTCTAGAGGGGTGTGAAGCACCGCCAAGTCCTTTGAGTTTTCAGCTGTTGCCAGTAGTACTCTGGCGAATAGTCTAGTTCTTATGACTATTTGGGTTTAGGGCTAAGCATAGCGGGTTATCTAATCCCAGTTTGGGTCTTAGCTATCATGTGATCAGAATATATTAATAAAGTCACTTTCGTAGTTTACTTTTGTTTTAATTATGGCTTTTTACAGCTTAATTAAGGTTTAACTTTATCTTGTATGGTTCTTTAACACGCTTTACGCTGTAGTTCTATAAATTCGGGTCAATCATATGACCGCGGTGGCTGGCATGAAATTTACCAACCCTGATTAGCATGGCTTAGTCACACTTTCGTTTATGGCTCAGTTTTTATCACGGCTGTCTCCCGTGGGGGCGTGGCTAAGCAAGGCGTTGTGAGCTGCTGGTCTGGTGTGCTTGACACCTGCTCCTTTTTTTTTTTTTTTTAATTTATTTTTACATCTTTATTGGAGTATAATTGCTTTACAATGGTGTGTTAGTTTCTGCTTTATAACAAAGTGAATCAGTTATACATATACATATGTTCCCATATTTCTTCCCTCTTTCGTCTCCCTCCCTCCCACCCTCCCTATTCCACCCCTCCAGGCGGTCACAAAGCACCGAGCTGATCTCCCTGTGCTATGTGGCTGCTTCCCACTAGCTATCTATCTTACTTTTGGTAGTGTATATATGTCCATGCCTCTCACTCACTTTGTCATAGCTTACCCTTCCCCCTCCCCATATCCTCAAGTCCATTCTCTAGTAGGTCTGTGTCTTTATTCCTGTCTTACCCCTAGGTTCTTCATGACTTTTTTTTTTTTTCTTAAACTCCATAGTGATTTAGGGAGCATTCTCACTGGGGTGAGGATACCTGCATGTGTAATTCTATTAAAAACTAATAGAGGGCTTCCCTGGTGGCGCAGTGGTTGAGAGTCTGCCTGTCAATGTGGCGGACGCGGGTTCCTGCCCCGGTCCGGGAAGATCCCACATGCCGCGGAGCGGCTGGGCCCGTGAGCCATGGCCGCTGAGCCTGCGCATCCGGAGCCTGTGCTCCGCAACGGGAGAGACCACAGCAGTGAGGGGCCCGCGTACCGCAAAAAAAAAAAAAAACTAATAGAAAGGCTGGGACCAAACCTTTATGTTCATGGGGCTAGTGGGCCCATGTAGACATTTTCAGTGTCTTGCTTTACGAGATGTTCGAGCAGCATTAACTTGTGGCACATAGGTGATGTTTGTGTGGTTGTATTACGTGGCTTATGTCAGATTTAGTATTAGATTTTTGATAAAATGGTTGGCGAATCTAGGGGGATGTCTGTCTATATGGGTGGTGAATATCTAAGTAGCTCATTTGTATGATAGGAAGGGGGTTGAGGTTGATTCATTGGGATATATAACTGTTCTAAGCCGTGGGGGGAATAGTAAAGTGCTATGTCCTGTAACCATTAACTGATTGTACAACGCAGGTGGCTCTTGTCAAATAACAAATACATCCAAGTCCACCTACAATTTGCTTGACTGTGTTGAGACCTTTTAAAGTCATAGCTGAGTCTAAGCACTTTCCCCCACAAAAATAAAAAATACCAAATGTATGAAATCACAGTCATGTGTGAGCATGGGCTGATTAGTCATTAACCCATTGAGATGTCTTATTTAATGGGCAAGAGTGGGCGATTTTAGGAGAGATGGCCCTGAAGTAAGAACCAGATGTCTGATAAAGTTCATCAGTAGAAACCCTCACAAGCCCTGGGCCTGGATCGAGAACAGGGACACCTGCTGAGCGGGTTGATGGTTTCACGCGGCCTGGCGATTAAGCTCGTGATCTAATGGACAGGATTCCAAACATGTTGGCTTGGACCAATTTAACTTAATGTGCTATGTACGACCAATAATGTATGTGTACTATGTAATATTAATGATATAATGTACATGCTTATTAGGCATGTGGTAAATAATGCAATGCACGATTATACATACAATGTACGTGCATATACACATGGGAAAGAGACATTATAGCGGTTATGTGGCGGTAACAGATATGCACGATACGCATAGCATGTATGTAGTAGAATGAATTATTTTTAGTACTGACATAGCACTGTAGTTTTATGAATGTCTTTAATATTTTTTTTTCAGGGAATAGTTTATATAGCATTTCAGCTTTGGGTGCTGGCGGTGAAGTTTAGTGCTTTTTCCAAGTGTCTCAGGCAGATATGTTGTTCTCCTTTTCCAGTTTACAAGACCGGGGTATTGTGTTATACTACAAAAACTCTTCATTTTAGGAACTTGTTTTCAACGAGACTAGTTACTGGTATTAACACTAGGATTAAAAGAAAGTATAAAATGGATGCAAGTTGTCCGGTAATCATATACGGGTGTTCCACGGGTTGTCCTCCGAGCCATGTTAGCGCTAGTAAGTTTGCTACTAGTACTCAAAATAAGAATGGACTGAAGGGTTGGAATATCACGCTTCATTGTTTGGATGTATATGGAGAATTGGAATAAATGCCAGGATTATGATTGAGAGCAGGAGGGCCAAGACTCCTCCTAGCTTGTTGGGGATTGATCGTAAAATTGCATATGCGCGTGGAAGATACCATTCTGGCTTGATATGTGGTGGTGTGCTGAGTGGGTTTGCTGGGGTGTAGTTGTCAGGGTCTCCAAGCAGGCCGGGTGAGAATAGAGCTAATATTAGTGAGGCCAAGATTAATAGTAAGGTGCCTAGGATATCCTTGATCGTATAGTAAGGGTGGAATGGGATTCTGTCTATATCAGATGGAATTCCTATGGGGTTATTGGACCCGGTTTCGTGAAGGAATAAAATAGGTGGACGGCAGCTAGTGCTGTGATGATGAAAGGGAGAATGAAGTGGAAGGGGAAGAATCGTGTTAGTGTTGCTTTATCTACAGAAAAGCCACCTCAAATTCATTTGACGAGGGTAGTGCCGATATATGGGATTGCTGAGAGTAGGTTTGTGATGAAAGTTGCGCCTCAGAATATGATATTTGTCCTCAAGGTAGGACATAGCCTATGAACGCAGTGGCTATGACTATAAGTAATAGGATAATTCCAATATGTCATGTTTCCTGAAAGGTATAGGACCCATAGTATAGGCCACGTCCTACGTGGGCATAAAGGCAGATAAAAAATATGGAAGCTCCGTTTGCGTGTATGTATCGAATGACAGCCATAGTCGATGTCTCGGCAGATGTGTGTTACTGATGAGAAGGCAGCTGTTGTGTCTGGTGTGTAGTGTATTGCTAGAAATAGGCCTGTTAGGATTTGTAGGATTAGGCAGACGCCTCGTAAGGAACCCAAATTTCATCATGGTGAAATATTTGATGGGGTAGGGAGGTCAATGAATGTATTTTTGAGGATTTTTATTAGTGGGTGGGTTTCTCGGGTGTTGGTCATTGGTGTTCTTGTCGCTGAATGACAACGGTGATTTTTCATGTCATTGGTCATGGTTGGAGTCCATGTGAGAATAATGATGACATATATTGTATTCATTTTAAGTATTATTTTTGTGATTAGTTTTGTGCGGGTTTCTTCAAAACCTTCACCTACACACACACACACACACACACACACACACACACACACACACACACACACACTGGAATATTACCCAGCCATAAAAAGAATAAAATAATGCCATTTGGGGCAGCTTGGATGGACCTAGAAATTATCATACTAAGTGAAGTAAGTCAGAAAGAGAAAGACAGAGGCAAATATATGATATCACTTATATGTGGAATCTAAAAACTAGTACAAGTGAACTTATTTACGAAACAGAAACAGACTCACAGACACAGAAAACAAACTTATGGTTATAAAAGGGGAAAGGTGGGGGAGGGATAACTTAGGAGTATGGGATTAGCAGGTGCACACTAGCATACAAAAAATAGATAAACAACAGGGATTTACTATAAGCACAGGGAGCTACATGTATAACCGAAACACTTTGCTGTGCACTGGAAACCCACTCAACAGTGTAAATCAACTATGCTTCATTAAAAAAACAAACAGGGCTTCCCTGGTGGCGCAGTGGTTGAGAGTCCGCCTGCCGATGCAGGGGACACGGGTTCGTGCCCTGGTCCGGGAGGGTCCCACATGCCGCGGAGCGGCTGGGCCTGTGAGCCACAACTAATGAGCCTGCACGTCCGGAGCCTGTGCTCCGCAATGGGAGAGGCCACAGCAGTGAGAGGCCCCGCGTATACCGCAAAACAAACAAACAAACAAAAAGAAATCACTGTCTAATTAAGATAAACCTGCTGGAATCAAAGGTGAGTTGATACTGGAAAAGTAGGGCTAGAGACCACCACCAGAGAGACATCAAACCCTGGGGAGGGGTGAGAGAGGAGCCCCTGCTGCTTCTCCTGGATCCCAACAATCCTAACTCTTTGGCTTTTTCCCATGTTCAACCCTTTCATATTCCTGGCCTCTTGTTGCTAGTTCCCGCTCCCTCTCCCTTTATTCTGCCCCCAGTGTCTTCTTTAGTCCAAAATAAGTGGCTTCTCTCCTCCCTGCACTCTCTAGGCCCCTCTCCTACCTTCGTCCAGGCTCCACGCTCCTTCCTTCTCTCTCCCCCACCTGCCACCTGCATTGATCCCTCCCCTGCTGTGCTCAGCTACAGAAATGCCAAATTCCTAACACCTAGCTACATCTATGTTATCTCGCCCTCCTTTTCCCTCTAACAATGTGCCTCCCTGCCTTGGCCCCCGCAAGTGTCCCTGGTCCCTGCACAGCTCGGGGCGCGGCGGGAGTCCAGACCTACTGCAGACGCCCATGGATGCGGGTGAGCACCTCCAACTTCTCCAGCTCCGGGCCTGCTGCCTCAGCCTTTCAGCCGACTCTGCGTTTGCCCCCTCATGCAAGTGCCTTGCCGACTCTGCGTTTGCCCCCTCATGCAAGTGCCTTGCCTCTTTCACCAGGAAGGCCACTTCCATCAGAAGGGAGACACCTGCAGTGCCCGCACCCACAGTCCGGGCTCCTTTGGTCATTGCCAGAGCCGTGCCTTTGACAGTAACCTCTTCCTGCTGGCTGCTTTGGACTGAGATTATTCCACTGCTGACGAAGACGTTTGCATCGGCTGCTAAGCCAGGGTTGCTTTTGACCGTCTCCATGGCACGGATATTCATTTCAATGCGTTGCACAGCTTCTGTGAATTTCTTTGTTGTGCTAACAGCTTGGGGGCTGATCTTAAGTGCCTCCAGGAGCGCCAGTTGACATCAGGCGACTGACTTCGGTTTTTGCTGACAACGTACTGACGAGTTCCACGATGCTGGTGGACACACTGGTTACAGCAGCCGCTGCTCCCAGCCCTTACCGAGTGGCCGAGAGTGCCAGACTCGCCCCCGCTGTCATGGGTGCCAAAGCCAGGCCAAGTATGGTCAGGACACCAGACACAGCGCCAGTGGAGTTGGCCACAATGTTGGAGATGGTGCAGTCCCTGTGGATCTTGTCAACCTTGTCTGCGAGTGCGTGGAGCTTTCCTATGAGCTCCTCTAGCTCCCACTTTACCCGAGTAAACCTGTTCAAAAACCTCTTCCTGTCCAGCTGGTCTTTTTGGAGCATGACTTGGTACTCCACGGCCAAGTCTGTTTTCAGCTCACTCAGATATTGATGCAGTGCCTCTGAGTCTTCCCTGTAACAATGAAGGTCAAGAGATTAGAAAGACAGTTTACTTGTCCATAAAATAGGCTCAACAAGATCTATCCTGTAAATCACAGAGACTTTGTTATAAATCAAATAGAAAATTTCACAAATGTAAATTTTTCTCTTTAAACATTAAACACATATTTTTGTATCTTGTAGATGCTCCATATACTTATTCAATCATGGAATAAACAAGCAAAAGTCATCTTAGGATACATTTAACTTAACATAGGTATTTGAGGGAATTCCCTGGCAGCCCAGTGATTAGGAGTCTGCGCTCCCACTGCAGGGGGCACAGGTTCGATCCCCGGCTGGGGAAGCAGGATCCCACAAGCTACGTGGCTCGGCCAAAAACAAAAAAATGGTATTAGATAAAGACGCCTCAGAGGCAGGTCAACACAATCACTTCCAAAGAGTAGGCAGAGTGGGAACT